AGCCAATGCGATTCTTGGTTGGATCAATAAGAGTATAGTGTCTAGATCAAGGGAAACGATGCTTTGGCCAGACCCTCACCTGGAGTATTGTGTCCAGTTCTGGGCACCTAAATTCAAGAAGGATGTTGACAACCTGGAGTGTGTCCAGAGGTGGGTGACCAAACTGGTCAGAGGTCTGGAAGCCATGTCCTATGAGGAGCGACTTAGGGAGCTGGGAATGTTTAGCCTTACAAAAAGAAGGTTAAGAGGGGACATGATAGCCATGTTTAAATATTTGGAAGGATGTCATGTCGAGGAAGGAACAAGGAGCAGTGGTTTTAAACTACAGGAAAAGAGATTCCATCTGAACATTAGGCAGAACTTCCTGACAGTCAGAGCTGTCCAGCAGTGGAATAGGCTGCCTCGAAGGGTGGTGGAGTCCCCTTCTTTGGAGGTTTTTAAGCAGAGGCTGGATGGCCGTCTGTTGGGAGTGCTTAGATGGATGTTCCCACATGGCAGGGGGTTGGGCTGGATGGCCTCAGTGGTCTCTTCTGACTTTATGGCCCTTCAGAACAGGGTCTGCCCTAGGTAGCAAAACCAATGATGAGGAATTAATTGACGTTGCAAGTGAATTGACCGAATTTTTCTCCACAAGAGGAACAAAGTGGAGCCAGTGCCTCTCATCAGAGAACACATAGGTAGGCTAACAGGAATCTGAAACCCTTCTTTCCTCATCTTTCCATGCATACTATGAATGTTTTGAGGTTTGCAGGTTGTTTTGGCTGGCCTAGCCTGTCATACCCAGTCTGCTTTGACCTCTCAGCTTTGAGGTAATTAGCTTTGACCTCTTCTTTCTTGAGCTCTCATGGGACCATACATGGAGTCTTCTCCAGTACAGCATGTTGGCTGTACAGCTCTCCCCACATATGGGTGCACTCAGTATTCTGCTGAAAGTTAATGTTAGGATTTTCATTACTCATATTTCTTCTGGATTTGTACCTTGAATACTTTTATTGATGGTAGAACATTGAATTACTTCTTTAACGAACCCAAATCAACCCACAGGCAGAAGACCAGTTGCGCCGTGAAAAGAACTTGGAAGAAGCCAAGAAGATTATCATTAAGAAAGATCCTAGCCTCCCAGAACCCAAATGTGTAAGTAGAATTCTTCAAAAGACATCCTGAACTTTACCTCAGATGGTCTCAGATGCACAAAAGGGGAAAGTCAGGGATGACTTCGGGGGGAGATGGACACTGGTAGACAAGTTGAAGTACTGTAGCAGTCAGCAGAGGGCATCCCTACAAATGTGGTTGGATGGCAACTCCCATTAGCCCTTGCTTGCCTAATCACCAGAAGAGGATGATGGGAGTTGTGGTCCAGCAGTGTTTGAACAGGCTTATTTTGCCCACGTTGATGCAGAGCACACATTGCTGAAAACCGATTAGGGCTCTAGAACTGTGGTTTCCGACCTTGGGTCACCAAAAACGTTCTTGGACTACAGCTCCCAGAAATCCTGGCCAGCATAGCTAGTAGCGAAGGTTTCTGGGAGTTTTAGTCCCCAAGAACAACTGAGGACCCAAGGTTGGGAACCATTGCTCTAGAAGTTCAGTGGTTCCCTGATGTGTGTTGAGATAGGTGAAGTCACGTTGAGTTATATATCATTCTCTCTTGCTCTCTTTTTTTTTCTTGAAACCCATTTTTTTTCTTTCTGTGTAAGTGTGCACTGAAACGGTGGGAAGGGGTAGTCTGATGGTATAGCTGAGTGGTGCGAGAGTGGCGCTGGGTGTGCGCCCTCTGCAGGAACAGCACAAACAACCTCGCTGCTGAAGATGGAATGCAACACACTGCTCCTCCCTCACAACTAGCTCTGAGCCCCGAAGGACAGGGAGGGATTTCCATGCTTCCTGTTGGGAGGTGGAGGCACAAGCAGAAAGGCTTCGCATGCATGGAAACCCCATTCCAGACCTTCCAAGAGGTGGGAGTGAAGTGCTTAGTGCATGTTGGCCACCCCCAGCTCTCTGCTGCCTGAGGCAACTTCCTCACCTGATAGCCTTCTGCCAGGGCAGCTTTGATTCTACCCTTGTTGACTTCCTTCTGTTCAGCTTGGTTTTCTACCAAGTAATTGTTTGCAGGATGGCGGCCTCTGGTTTTTTTTTAAATTCTATTTGGTGCCGTTGAGCATATGCTTTCAGATGGGCTGCCAGATCTGGCAATAAGGTAGGGGTTTAGCCAGGAATGGTTACGTCTAGTTCGGAGGGAGATTTTAATTGTTTAAAAGACAGAGGTTGTCTTCACCTGTCAAGACAAGGAGCTTTGTCAATTTGAGCAGTGGTAGGCAATTTGGGGCAGTGGTTCCTTCGCACCCTAAATATTGTTGGACTGCAGATTCCAGAAGCCTTGGACCTTGGCACTGCTAGCGGAGGCTTCTGGGACTTGTAGTCCAAGAACACGGGAACCTCAAATATTGGGCAGCACAGATTTGAACAGCAGGAATCTGGGCACACGGATTAAGAGAGATTGCATTGAAATACTGGCCTGTTCTCAGCATTTTTATGCTACTTGGCATTGGTTCTTTTTCAGGAAGGAATCTTGCTTTTCTATACCTGGTGAGGGTAAGACTGCACATGGACGATTTTCATTCAGAGCCTGCTCTCTATCGCTAAGCTTCAAGACTAGGATATTTTTATTTTTTGCCCAGCAGACAAAAATAGAAGCCTATAAATGCTTATGCGTATTTGTTGCAAGGTAGTGAATGACGTCCTGGTGCAGTATATTGTTTTTATTATTATT